ACACACACACACACACACACACTTAGCATCAACATTCAATTATTAAAAATGATCAACACTGGGATATAAAGCGTGAAGCTGAGTATTGGAGACATTACCCATTACTGTAGATTACTTTTTCACCCTCAGTGGACAGTATAACAACTATGTTTTTTTCCCCTAATTTTCTCTGATTCTCTTAGTTGCCCCCACTTCCCATCTGTAGCCAGATGATCCATGGGCAGGATTATGCTTGTTAGAAAATGTGAGTGGGTAACTTTAAAGGTGATCAGTAGCAAACCAGAAGGAATCTGACACATGCTGACCACTACTCCAGGAGAAGATTTGGTGAGGAGCGGGAATTGGGGGCTCTAGTTGTAAGAGCAGTGTCTGGAATTGCAGCTCCTCAGCCTCATCGGATTCTGGATTCCCCTGCTGGAGCAGGGAACAGCCTGTTGCAGATTTACCTCCAAATACCCACACAGAAAGTGGAAGGGGGATGATGAAGATCTCCCGAAGGATATGCAGAAGGAGCAATTAGAGAGGTAAGAGGAGAGCCAGGACAGGACAGTCATGAAAGCCAAAGGAGGACAAGATTTCAAGAAGAGCACAGTTGACTGTGTCAAAAGTGGCTGACAGGTCAAGCAGGATGAGGATGGAGTACTGGTTCTGAGATTTGGCTAAAAAGAGGTCTTTAGAGAATCTGGTGACAGTTGTTTCAGTTGAGTGCAAGGGTAGAAGCCAGATTGGAGAGTCTAGGATGGAATTGGAGAGAAACTCCAGACAGTGACTGTAAACAGCACGTTTAATGAACTTAGAAATTAAATGGAGATGGGAAAAGAAGTGGTAGGTGGAGAGGAAAGTGGAGTCAAAGGTTTGTATTTTTAAGATGCGAGAAACTAAAGCATGTTTGTATTGCGAGGGAAAACAACCAGAGGAGACTGGGAGGTTAAGGAGAAGAGTAAGGGAGGGAATAAGAGTGGGCCCCCACAGAGAGATCAGGAGATGGGATGGGGTCACTGGAGCAAGAGGACAGTGGAAGAGAGCAGATGAGAATCTTCTGCCTCCGTGGCCAGCGGAGGAGGAGGAGGAGGAAAAGAAAGTTTGAGGTGGGGAGGAGAGGAGAAGGGAAGAAAAGGGGGAAGGGAAGGTGAGCCAAGGGAGGGGAAACGTCATGTCATATTTTATCAATTTTCTCTTGAAAGAAATCAGCGAGATAGCGTGCAGAGAGGAGTGGCGGGAGGAGGTGAAGGTTTGAGGAGTGAGTTAAAGGTGCTGAAAAGGCAATTGGTATTGCAGGCATGAGATTCAATTAAGTTGGAAAAGTAGAGTTGTTTAGGAAGACAGCAGAATTGAAAGAGAATGAATCTGTGGTGTGGGAAGTTGGCCTGGTCACTTGATTTCTACTAGAGATGCTTTTCATTGCGAGAGCAGGAATGGAGGCAACAGATGCTGGGGGTAAGCCATGGCTGGAGGTTAGCAAGATGGATCTTGCGATAGGAGAGAGAAGTATCAGAGGGAACTTTTTGCCATATATTTGTTACAGCATCAAAATTAAAGTATATAGAGGCTTCACTATCTCAGGTTACAGGTTCAGTATGACCTTGCCTCATCCAGTGGCATGCTAGTCACTAGCTTTTGAGTCCAAGACTATTGACTAGCTAGGAAGGTAGGAATGCAAAACTTTTGAGGCTAAATGAAACTGTTTCAGCTACAGTAACCTGATTGTATTTGGTAATCCAAGGGTGTAATTAGAATTTAAAAAATGAGACAGCAAGATAGACAATTACACAGCTGTGAAAAACAAGGCTGTACATATTTCAAAGGGATCTGATAGTTTGTGATGTCATTACACACAATAGGCTTGATTCTGAAACCCTTACTCAGGCAGATTAATACTTTCTTCAATGGGACTACTCAATATGAATAAAGGGTGGTAGAATCAGGCCCAATACGTCTATACTCAACAGCATTCCTGGGTTGTATTTCATCCATTTAATAAACAGCATACAATTTTAACAAGGAACCACTGAATTTTTTATATAGGAAATAGCTTTCCACCAACCTGCTGGTTTGTTTCTTGTTTAAGTTTTAATTTATTAGATATTTATAGTTACAGAAAATGTTTATTATTAAACATTTATACTGTGGTAATACCTAAAAGTCTCAATCAGGTCAGAACCCTACTGTGTTAGTCAAATTCTGAACAGTTATAGACTATCATACTGAGAGGGATTTGGCATTGGGGTGACTTGTCAGTCAGAACACAATTCATTTACATATTAAAATAATGAAAACACCGTATTTCACAGTAGCAATATTACAGCTGTGAAATAAGACTCATTTCTTAAAGCTTGTTTGGCTACAGTACATCAGATTCTTAAAAGTGTTTAAATATCTATAAGTATGGTTTGTGACAAAACTCATTTGAAGAGGACATTTACATAAGTTATACCTAAAACAGCTAACCCACATGAAATACAATTTATGGTGTGTTTTTTTTAAATAGTAACATCATTTGGCACTCATATTAGGAGCAGATATTTTTAAAAAAATATTACCAAAGTGAGATTGGACAACCCTGAAGGGATAGTCATGATCTCTTGAGTTTTAACTGGCTCTGCCACTGACTTAGATAAGTCATGTGAACTCTTTGCATATCAGTTTTTCCAGCAGCAAAACAAGAATAGATTTTCCTGTCTACCTCACGGAGGTGGATTGAAGATTATTTAATGTCTGTATGGAATTTTACATATTTAAAGTGCTATGCAAATAATTATTTCTATTCTATTCTTCAGAAATCTATTTCAGCCCACTGTATCTCCAGAGTTTGTATTCTATTATGTATGTATATAGTATTCAATATTTGAAAGTATTTATCGAGTTTTCTTCCTGCCTGTACACTACTGTATCTTCTTAGGAAAATGCTTATGAAATTAGATGAGACAAATTTCCTGAATACATAGCACACAGAGGGAGGATGTGGAATGCAACTCATTGTTTTTTCCTGTACTGGTGTGCATTGAAAATGGACAAATCAGAGGAACAAAAATGCGCAAATAATTTCCCTTTAAATGACTCCATCTTACCAAGCAAAAGACTTCAACATACATTCAAAAGCAGCACCTTCAAAAACACCAGAAAATGGGAAGATAAAAGCGACCAGCTGTATAAATCCTCTCACACAACACAACTCGCTTTAGAACACACGGACTGTACACAAATTTCATTTATAGTCAAAGGGCAGACAGCAAAATCCACCAAATTCAATCCAACATATACACATTTTGCCAGGCATCTAACATATTAATTTAAATTAAGGAGCAAGGTATGCAATGCAGCTTCACTATACACCAATATAAAGAAACAGATATTTCCAGTGGAATTATATCTGATTGCTATAGCATTAAATCCTTATGTCATCAGTTGTATTGTACTGAAAGAGCATGTGCAGCCAAGTGCTTCTTGAAAAAATGTGCTAATCAGAGAAAGGGGTGCCAAGCTAACTTGATTGGTTTCTTTCTGAAGCTATTACAGTTATTTAAATTAATTGGAATAATAGAGGCAGTGATACTAATGCAAAATTAACATTAATAATATAAACACACTGTGCTGATATTTTACTAATTGACAAACTTATTTTGTACCCATTCCAATATTTTAATGATCACTTCATTGCCAGTAGGACAGAGTATAGATAGACTCATTTATTTATTTATTCATTCCATCTTAACAGCTATGCTGCTGAACTGAAGTGTCACAATACAATGGGATTCTCAAGGAATAAACTATATACTTATTTATGAGTAGGTTTTTCTATGGTGCTCATTGTATTATCCAACAACTCCACCAATATTAATGAATGTATTCTCCTAACACCCCCGTGAGGCAGGTGTTTATTCTCCCAATACTCCTACAATGCTATCCTATTTTGTTATTCTCTTGATTAAGAAATTAGAAAATGTTGTATTATGCAATACATAAATAACACATGCTTTATCCAATTAATCCCACAACCCCAGAACACTTAGGGCCCTGCAGCTATGCCACCTTGTGCTGTGATCCTGACAGGCCGCACAAGCTACACAGGGACAGATCATCTCAGTACATTTCTGGGAAGACCTCCACAAACACATAATAGGAAATGGTGATGAGTAGCAGCTGACATTCATCCATGCAAGTCAGTACTGAATGCAGGGCTGATTCGGCTCAAACAAATCTGAGGCTCACAGCAAACATGAGGTTCACTGGGGGCAACGCACTGAAGGATTTTGAGGTATCTGTAAAGCATCCAGAATTGAGGTGTGTGATTGTGAAGGGAGTTAGGACTTGTCAACATGGGGAAAGTTGTACCAATGTAAGGTAAGATGTGAATTTAAACAGCCTACAGTTATACTGGTACAATTCCTAGTGTGGACACCCTTACTTTGGTATAAGCATGCTTTTTTTCCAATTTAATTTATGTTGCTTTGGAAGTGGTTTAAGCTAAATTGAAAAAAGACATTCTTATTCCAGGATAATAGCATCCACACAAGGACTTATCCTGGTATAACTATAGCGGTTTAACTATATCAGTATAATTATACTGGTACAACTGTAAAATTTTCCCATGTAGGCAAGCCCTTTGAAAATCACGAATGAAAGTATTCTGTTAAATAGGAGAAGGAGGAATCTACAAGGTGCCGCCACATCAGGCTGCAATAAAGGGGAAGGCACTTTGATTTTCCAGGGTGCTTGGTTATCCCCACAAAATTCTCAGTGAACGTGAAGCAGATTGTACTCCTCATCATGTGTCACTATAGTATGACAACTAAATATCATAGTAGCATTTCATTCTGGCCCTACTGGAAAGTCTTTCCTCTCCAAAAATACTCATAAGGGCCCTACAGCGCAAGTTTGACACCATTTTCTGAACTGGCCTTCACTGAAACAATGGCCCACCATTTTGCTATCTAAACACCCTCTACTCAGTTCAAACTGATATGGATGTTTTCACTTCCTGTCCTAAATGTTTGTCCAATGTAATCAAGTGCCATTAAACAGGTACTGCATTTTCATCTCAAAGGGTAAAAGTGCTTTGGGGTTCTTTGGGGAAAAAGTGCAATATACTTGTAGGTTATTATGCCTTTCAAGGTGGGTCAATCAATTTCAAAGGAGTGATATATACTGAACAGATTCTGTGTTCCCCCAAAGATACTAAATGTTCTTACACAAAAATTTTAAAAAAATTAGTAACTAACACACCTGGATTAGATTTTTAAATAGAAATTCATACACACACAGACACACCCTACACACACCCTCTGTAACAGACTCATGGAAGGTGAGGGAAAGCCTTTTGTTGGTTTTCTCATATATGTAGTAAAATATAAAAAAATAAAATTAATAAGCACATTTTCAAGGAACAGAAACGTTGAGCATAAACAAAAGCAAATTCTCTCAGTCACTAATTGAATCACATAATTTGTATAGAAAACACACATACCTAGAATGAGAGGATATTTCACTGAGGTCTCCCATGCTACCTTCAGCTGTATGACTGCTAGAAATGGCAGAAGCATAGCTATGTACAGCATAAATTTTAGCTTGTTCATCATCTTGCCCAGGAGTTTCAGAAGATTCAGTCCACTGCTCAGCCCGACTATGTACCCCAGACCTGCTGCCAGCAAGGTGTAAAGGAGCCATAAGAGGAGCAGGCATACAAGGAGCTGTATCAATTCCACTGTCAGTAGAAGCCCCTTTAATATATGTTAATCCAAGCAATTCAGGGTCCATCAGGTCTCCGGAGCCAAAGTGCTTTTCATCACTATTGCTCGATGTATTACTGGACAGGGTATTGCTGCTGGAGTGACTGGAACAGTTTTTGTCTCCAATCTTAAAAAAAAAAAGAAGTTTATAAATAATATTTACTTTCGTTTAAGGTTACTTAATTTTCTTTATTCAAAGGTCATTTAGCCTGCATTTAATACTTTTCACAGCATCGTTAAATACAAACACCAAATACAAAAGAAGCTAAATGTGCAACCAGCTTCTATGAAGTGAACTGCACAATTGCCTAGGTGTATTATGGGGCTTTTCTTTCCTCCAAAAGCCTATTGTGTTGGTAGGTACAATAGACTTTAGACTATTGGTTTGATCTCGTATGGCAAATCCCATGTTCACATTTAAATTCTTTGATTCTGACATGCTTGCATCCATAAACTATCATTTGTGGATAGTTAAAATGAACAACAAACCACTGAATTAGGTTCTATTGCAGTTCTGGAGAACAATGGAGATTGAATTACTGTTATCCTCTCTCAGAGTAGATGAACTATCCAGTTTATTGGATCAGGTGCAGCATGTATGACTGCTTGAAATGAAGGCAAGTGGCATGTGTGTACCAGATGCAAGTGACTTGAACCTCTGGGGGTTCAAGCTCAGTATGACTGCTGGACTAGAAGAACTGTGTCAGACAGTTGCATCAGTAGAAAATTTGAGGAGATTTTATAAAGAGTTGAATTCATTTACCCGTGAGGCAAGATAGCCAGGACCAAGCCAGATAAAGCCTAGGTAAGAAGGAAAGCGGGAGGGTAGACGACTATTTTTAATTAGATTTCCCTTCCAGCAGATGTACATAAGGATAATCCTTTCTTATACACCAAGCTGCTAGAGGTAGCCCTTTTGAAAAGGCTGCCTCAACTAACTGCACATTGAGAATTAACAAGTCTCAGTGTCTGTTTGAAAAGTTGCTACAAAAAGAGGGGGTTTAAGTGCATTATGAAACTTTTGGAGATGATTTTCAACTTCACTATAAGGGAACTAGATGCTGGAAATGCAAATGAACAGGTTTCTAGGGATGGGATGCGCTAGGATTTGTTAGAGAGTTGTCTAGCGCAGAAGTGCTTCAGTTTGGACCACAAATGCAACATGGCATCAAAGAGGAAAGAAACCATTAGGAAGGAAGGAAGCCTTCAGGAAGTAAAAAAACCACAGGAAGGAGCAAAGTAAGTATCAGTCCCAGAAAAAGCTTCATTCAGGCTGCTCTAGTTTATACCAGTACCTGCTTGGCACTGGAACTGGCACAGAGGATTGGGGTGAGCTGGCGAACAGCTGGCACCTTTGCATGCTCTCCTCTTGAGCTACACCAACCAAACTTCAACTACAGCTCAGAGTCATGTATTTCCATGTGTCAAGGCTACTCTTCATAGGGAATCTCAATGTGGCCTTAACAGCGACCGATCTCTAAACATGTCATGGAGCAATTAGAACTCAAGTATAGTAAATCACCAGGACAAGATATCCAAGATTTCTGAAGAGCAAAGATACTGAGGTGGATATGCATGATATCCTAAACAGCAACATTTGTTCCTGAAAAATATAAAGTTGTTCATTTAGTGCTCATCTCCAGCAACGGACAATCCAAGGAACTGGGCAACAAAAGTGACTGAGGTATGGAACAGCTTCCATATAAGAAGAGATTAAAAAGCTGGACTTTTCAGTTTGGAAAGGAGACGACTGAGAGGAGATATGATAGATATGATAGAGGTCTATTAAATCTTGACTGGTGTGAAGAAAGTGAATAAGGAAATGTTATTTACTTCTTCACATAACACAAGAACTAGAGGTCACCCAAAGAAATTAATAGGTAGCAGATTTAAAACAAACAAAAGGAAGTATTTCTTCACACAACACAGTCAGTCAGCCTGTGAAACTCTTTGCCAGAGGATGCTGTGAAGGTCAAAACTATAACAGGGTTAAAAAAAATTAGATAAGTTCATGGAGGATAGGTCCATCAGTGGCTATTAAGGATGGGCAGGGATGCAACCCATGCTCTGAGTGTCCCTAGCCTCTGTGTTCCAGAAGCTGGGGTGTGGACAACAGTGGATGGATCACTTGATGATTGCCAGTTCTGCACATTTCCTCTGAAGCACCTAGCATTGGCCACTGTCAGAGACAGGATACTGAGCTAGATGGACCATTGATCTGATCCAGTATGACCATGTTTATGTTCTTATGCTTTGGATAGGCATCTCTCAGTTTTGTATTAAGTGACTGATTGAGTAATTCAAGGATAGAGTAATACTGTGCTGCATTCAAATACATATAACCAAGTCATAATAAATGTATGAAGTTCAGTGAATAGAACAGTATCTCAGGTATTGGTACTGAGTTTAATGTTATTCATTCTACACAGTGATTCAATCCTCAAACTTCTGGACAACTTCTCCTTGCTGAAAACATCAGGAAGTAATTTCCCCCATGTGTCGGATTGTATAGTACTGTACACTACAGCATTACGAGGGTCTTTTTTTCAAACATCATAGACCAGATTCACAGCCTGTATAAATCAGAAAGCCAATTTACTCCAGCTGAGAATCTGGCCCCATAACCTTATTGATATTATTTTACAAGTAGTATCATATAGTTTCCTGGTACATCTAGCAAGACTTTTGTATTACAAACATACAAAATGCTATTAAGGGAACATGGCACTTTACTAGTGTTTTTTTTCCTTTTCCTAAATCATAAGACACTGGCCACTATTAAATGCAAGGTACTGAAGAAGGTGGACCAATTATCTGATCCAATACTTCAACTTCTATGTGTCTTTTCTTAAGGCAGCCACAGCATTTGTATCATACTTAGAAAATAAATCTGTTTAATAACTTTTAACTTCTAATCCTAATGAAGTTTACACAATATTGGTAGGCAGCCCTTATTTACCAGTTCTGACATTTCTCAGTGCACACAATTTAATCCAGCTGGAAATCATTAAAAAACAACCAAAAAAACAACAGGCCACCACTTTCACACCCACAATTAAAAAGGCACAAAAATATAACAACATTTAACTAGATACAGTCTTTAGAGGTGGAACCTTTGCCCAAATAAGAAGAAAGCTGATTGCTGATAATTATAGTACATATGTATCCCATACAACATGTCAAGAAATGATATGCATGAATGTAATGTGTATAATGGGAGGTGCTCCTAAGACTGAGCAAACCAATGTAAATGAAGCTCTAGTCAGACAGCAGAGTGATGCTTACATTAGTAAGGATTTTATCCCTGCAATGTCCCAGAAACCAGAACATGACCTTTTTAATGTACTTAGTTTGAGAATACTGCATCCAGTCCTGAATCAGAGATCCTTGCATAGCTATGCACAATACTATTAGCCTCTCAAACTCCAAACTGTACTTCAGGAATTATTAAAATGTATTTTAAACATTTAAGATTCTTGCAAGCGTCTTTTCAGACCCAAGTTTTTAACAGTAGAAGAAAAGTTTGAACAGACTTACATGAGAAAGTTTGCTTGGCGAATCCTTGCCATTGCCTTCTTTTGGTAAAGCCCGGTCTTTGTAGGAACTCAAGACTTTGGTGGATGGTGCATGCCACTTCGTTTCTGCCATAAATAATTGTGTTTTAATTTCTGAGTTCTAAAAGGATGAACATACTGTACAAAGAAAAAAGCACATAGCTCAGTGCTTTAAGCATCAGGTTTGAGACAACTAAACCCTGTGAAATCACAGGTTCAAACCTTGGCAGACTTTCCTAACCCTTTTGTTGTTCCAAAATAATTAAATAGACTTCTATGCAGTCCACTCTGTGTGAGGCTTTTGAATGAGACCTTAGAAATCAAAGTGTTTGTTCTGAGCCTACTTTAAATATTCCATGGCACTTCCTATAAAAGAGTAAGAATTTGCCTCAAGTGTTCTTTGGCCAAAATCTATCCTATTCTGACTGTTATACTGCGTGTTTAGTTTCCTCTTACCACCTCAGAGGTGGGCTGCATTTCACTGATACTGCATTCATTTTGAAGCATTTTAGGATCCTTTGGGATGAAAGGCTCTATATAAATGGAAATTAGGATAATCATCAGAACCAGTAGTTAACTTTACTTGTATATCCTAGGAAGATTATTTACTTTTAATATATGGTATTATTATTACCAGCATATCTGGTTCCTTCTGAAGTTTCCTCTCGTTCTCTGCCTCCTTCACACTCCAGTGGACCTGAACCTTGGTGTTCATGAAGTAAAGGGGATTGGCACCTTGTAACATAAGCAGACAATCAAGTTGTTTCTTTCTTAACTACAAAACTGATTATCCCACAAGGAACTTTCCAAGGTAAAAATCTTTGTAGGTCATTAACTGTAAACAATCATCACCACCCAGCAAGCAAATAGCATTGGGAAACTTGTTACTCTAAGTAAAAATATCTAAGTGTATGTTTCTTGGCAGAACACTATTTAGGATTAATTATAAACAAACAACAATGCTAAATTAAAAACCCCTACATTTTTGGGGCCAAACATTCAAAGCCCCATACAATGGATGGACCATGAAAATGCATCAACTAGCTGTTCCATGGACCAATTCCCACTTCTATGCACACAAATATCTGACAGGATGTGCAAATGCAGGATTCTACTAATGAAATGGGTGCACAACATATTTTGCATCTACCGAACAGAGGTTTGAAAGTTTGCCATTTATTCAAAATTGGAATTGATGCCTCTACACACTTCAGTACTAAATCCATTACTTGAAACATTTCCACTTTCACAGATGTCAGGCCCTCTTAATCTGAAATTCCTTGAGCACGTTCCAAGACACTACACATATCTGCTACATGGGATATTTTACACATAATCGAACATGTCAAGGCAATATTCTGCTGATAACAGACAAGAAGATTATTTCAGTGTCCATATTTTATTATAAAAATAACATAATTAACTCTGAGTAGCATGTCTCAAGTGTTTTTAAATTAGGCAGCTTGTGTATTTCTGTATCTCAATATTTAACAGCAAAAATGTTACCAAGCAGTAGATTCATGCAACCAAAGTGCAACATTCACGGTAATGAAGAACAGATCTCACATAGAAAATAGGTAGCAGAATTGAGTGAGTTAACTTTTTGGTGACCCTAAACATTTAACATACTTTTGTGAAGGGGTTCCTATTCACTAAGAGTGAATTCACAATTCACAATTGTGACTCCTCCTCTGCAGGGAAGTAAGGGGAAGTAACAAGCCCCATTACACTCATGTGAAAGAACTACCCATATTGCTGGAGCCTGCCTGGGGAAAGAGACCAGCTGCTGCTGGGATACTATTCAGCCCCCCATGCAAGTGGCTAGGAAGTAGATGTCACTGGAGCAAATGCAGAGGGAGAAATAATTTGCACCAGCAAAAGGACTGGCATATTACCCCACTAAAGCAAAGGGGAAGTAGAAACCAGACCGGAACTGAGTCACAATCTGGTTCCTGCACTTAGGCTGTCCTAATCCAGCACTAAAGCACTAACTAGTTTGGTTCCCAAACTGTGTTTCCATACAGATTGCATGAGAGATCTGTAACTCACTGCTTCCTGTTTACTTAGGGAAGTACCTTATCACAAGCACTTTTCCTGATCCTCATTAATTTGCAAGGAATCTCAATTTGTGGGTAGAAATTCACAAGTTTTCCACACTAGTTTGAGGACCAAATCCTGAACTCAATTACAGTGGTGCAAATCTGGAAAAACCACCACTGATTTACACTGAGGCATCTCAGATCAGACTAGGGCTGTGATACCCTCTATTAAAACTACATTTCCATTGCAAATGGGACTATTTAATATTTAGCTTGTACATAAACTCTGTTTCATAAAGAATTATTTATGGGAGTTGCAGTGAGATATAAAATCACCAGTACCCGTCATATCCCACTTGCTGTCTCCACTGGCTACTCCCGCTGGGTCCTGGGTCACTGGAGGAGGACTGGTTGCTCGGTGAACTTCTGTAATGTTGACTAGAATCATTAACAGTGCACTGAGGTATTTGTGGAGTTTCAACATCTTTAACTGGACTGTTATTTATTTATTTTACAAATAAATTCATTTTTACAATTAAAAATGAGGCATACAGATTGCAGTTTGAATACTTTACGTATATTCCTATTGGGATTTTACAGTTAGACTTATTTCTTACAATTCATGTCATTTAAGCATTTTAGAAAATAATATTTCCCAGTTTGTTATTGGCAGGATATTTCCATATGTAAATCTTAAAAAGACACCATGAAACACAAAAGCAGAGGACAGACTAGGTTTTAACAGACTAATGGCCAAATCCCACTCTCCTTACTGATATAAGTAGCCTCATTTGAACAAATAGATCTACTTGCATGAGTAAACAAAGCAGGACTTTGCTCAGTTTTGAATATGGGAAACTCCCACAATGAAAAAAAGTGCCTTCCCACCCAGAAACAATTGCTAACATGTACTATGATATACACCTCTACCCCGATATAAGGCGACCCGATATAACACGAATTCGGATATAACGTGGTAAAGCGGCCCTCCGGGGGGGGAGGGGGTGTCTGCGCACTCCGGCAGATCAAAGCAAGTTCGATATAACACAGTTTCACCTATAACGCGGTAAGATTTTTTGGCTCCCAAGGACAGCGTCATATCGGGGTAGAGGTGTACCAGAAAGGGTAAGGGCTTTGATTACACTATGGAATGCATAATATAAGTACCTTCATCCAACTGAGAACTAGGTCATCCTTCATATACAGTATGTGGGTAATATGAAGGCATTTTAAAGGGAATTTTATTATTATATTTTTAAAGATCATCATGTCTCACATTGTTAACTGTCTCTCTTACAAAAATTCTTGTATTTCCAGCTATTTGAAATATAATCGCCAAATTCTTCCTTAAATCGCTCTGTTTCACCTTGCTTCTCATTGCCAATTTACAACTCCACTATCTTGTCTCCCAACTCCATAATCTTGACTCCTCATCCTTCTTTCCTTTCCCATTTCCTTCACATATCCAGTTTCTAACTTCTGTCATTTTTTCCTTTTTAATCTCTAAAATTCACCCTTTTCTCATTGTCCCTGGTGCTATATAATCCGCATTTCTCTTAACCTAGTTATCTCCCATATTACTGTAACCTTCTTGTCTCATCTCACTGCCCTTCCTAGCCTCGACTCCTCTCCAAACTGTCTGAAATGCTGCTTCTAAAGTAATCACCTATTTCCTAGAAACTTTCTATTGGCTTCGTAGGCTGACCACAGTAAATCTGAGTTTCTCATCCTCACCGACAAGGTCCTATATAATACCTCTCCTATTTTTCATTACTCAGTATCTAAGGCCGTAGGCTAGTTCCAAACCATTTTTTATTCATCTTCCCAACTCTCTACTTCGTGGATTTTACCATGCTGCTTCCCATGTCTGGAAGAGTCCTCAGCCATTAGGTACCATCTCTCTTCTCTATATCCCTTTTTAAAACCTCACCTCCACAAGCAAATTGTTTTCCCTTCTTGTCATCGTTAATCTCCCCACCCTGCCTCTCCTGAACTGCTATCCAATGTTTTGTCTTTGTTAAACTTGTCCTATTTCTATTATATAGTAAGCTTTTCAGGGAAAGCAATGGCTCACTATATTTAAGGACTCAGTCCTGCAAATTATGTATGCATGTGCTTCACTTAGTTATGAATGCTTATGTTTGTAATGTGCTGTGGAAATTAATAGCAAATATTTATTCAACAATTAATAAAATAAGTACTGTTTTCTAACAGAGCTTCACAAATCCAGAAAATTAGATATTCAGTACAACTGCCTGTTTAACATTGGACTTTAACAAGGAACACAAGAATGGGTCAAGCAAGGTGATCTTAAGTCATCTAACATTAAGTGTGGTTAGATAAAATGCATTTTTGAAACAAGATGTAAAATATGCAAACCATTAACTCAGAACCTTCTTTCCCTAAGGACAAGTTTTAAAATGTGCATTACTATGACTAATAGTCTAACTGTGCGTGTTTTAAACAAAATGTAAAAATACTGTCAATTATTTCTCCTTAAGTACAGTAATAATTTATGCTTTTGGGGGCGGGGGCAGAAATTTTCAAAACCAATACATGACAAATTTTAGACTTTTATACAAATTAGGAGATTTCAGTCATGAGATCTGTTTTGCTTGGAGGTTAGAAAAACTGTATGGTTTAAGGGGAAAAGGGCATAAAGGAGGGACAAATCCAAACAAAGAAGAAATTAATGGGGAAAGAATTCTGTTTAAGAAACAAATTTGTTTAATTAATTCTCACCAAATAATGTAAAGAGTCAAATGCATTTACATAGCTTTTTTTTTTTTTAAAAAAAAGAGTTGTACCCCTTTTCAAGAAGTAGGAGTAAAATGATTTATAATTACCTTTAAAATACCTCACCATAATATAAGAGGTTTGATATCTTTGCATCACAAGTTCTCTTTTGTTTAATAAACAGTGGGAAAAAAGCAAAGTATAAGGACTGGTAATGAATTACAGAATCCTTTGAAACTGTGTCCATAATACAAGAATGAGCTTAAACCATTCATTTTGCAAGAGACAGGTTTGTTTTTATTTATGCTTATCACTCATCTAAATAGGTTTCCGTAACGTCACTGATTGTGCCTCAACTTAGAGTAAAAGTAGCCAGTCAGCTTCTGTTTCATTTGATTTGGGGTTGAAGGGGATGGCTGGTAGTCCTCATGGGGTGAAGTTATGAATAGTGATGAGTGAATCACTCATTGTTCAGTTTGAAAAATCTAGAACATTTTGGGGAGAGCTGCCAACCTGAAAAGGAGGTTTTTCTTGCTGAAGTGAAAAAATGTTTTGTTTGACCAGAAACAAATTTTTTTGTTTTGTTTCATTTTCAGCTGGTTTTTACATCTTTTTGTTTTCTAAAATAAATCTAGCAAAATGTTGAAACAAAAGATTATTTCAAAATGAAAAGTCAAAATGTTTTGGAAATGTCAAACAAAACATTTTGCTGTATTTATTTATTTTATTGGGGGGGAGGGGACGCAAAACTATTCACCAAATTCAACCTAATTTGAGTGGGATAGCTGAATTCATGGATAGCTTTGGTCTACCAGAAACTTCATTGTTTAGTGAATAAACTATTAGTCCACAAAATTCTGCCCATCTCTAGTTATGAGTAGTACTACTGTACACTATCACTTATCACTAAACCCAGATGTCATTTGTTTCAACTAGGATGAACTGTGGTTCACTGGGTTTACTTTGGCACTTAATCTCAAACTTAAATCCCTGTTAAAACCCGACAGAGTAATGTATGAATGATCGAAAAAGCCTTTAAAAATAACTTCATACCAAGGCCTAAAAACAGAGGTTTACAAGTGAAGCATTTAGGAAAATGACAGGAATTAAATGCAGAGTATATTACCTTGCACCATCTGGCAGCTTTCTATCAAAGGAAGTGCTGCGAGGAATGGCTGTCTGAGCCTGCTGAAGAAGCTGCTGGCATTGCAGTCTGTCAGATGTTCCTAGGATTGGAGATGCACGAGAAAGAGGCTGCCCAGCAGGAGTCGGCACCCGATGCCAAGTAGTATTCCTTCTGAAAGGAGTTTTATACTCACATGGGGTGCCTTCGCTGTCGAGTTTATATTCCACCATGGGGATTCGGCATAGTTCTGAACAACCCCTGCAGGGCAAATAAAAATGCCAATAAATCTTATTGGAGGGGGAAAAAAAAAACCAACAACAATCTTTCTACCATAAAAGGTATGGGTATATTTTTCTTACAAATGCTAAAACATCCCCATATAGCATTGTCTTTTGCACACTTCAAAAAATAAACCACTTATCTGACAAAAAAATAATTTAAACTATTCACTACTATGTGGAAGCCAGTGTTTCAGATGTCTGTCTTTCAAAGTGAAAAAGCAATATAAAATACTAAAAGTTAATCCATGTCTTAAATTCTGCATTATACAAAATAAAATCTGAAAACTATAAAGATTGCACAGTTAAGCACGCAGAAGTCAGGAAATGCCAACATTAAGGTTGCAAATGCAGTCTTAACTTTGTTCCCTTGTGTGTACGAATCACACTACAAGTCAAATTATACGATCACACACGATTTCTCAATTTATACAATATCATACAAGTTGAAAAATATTTAATGTGTAGTTTTTCCTGCAACCTTATATACTTTTATGTAGTATCTGGCATTATTGATTACTTCTCTGTGTATGTCAGGCAGAGTGTACTAAACTCATTTCTACTCATACTACAGATTAAATAAACAGAGAAATCGTGAAAATTTGCTTTTATACATATAGGCCTCAGAAGTGTGCAGCTAAAATAAGTCAAGTTTACTACCTCATCACATGAGTTATTTAACTTAAGAAAGGCTTTTCTGTTTCTTGAAAAGAACATGTATATTCATCATTGCTGACTAAAGCAAAACACATTTCTTAGGGAAATCTAAGAATTTATACAAAAACGTTCAGTCTCAATCCTGCAAACGCCTAAGCACCTGATCAACTTTGTACAAGTGAGTTATGCATACAATTTAATAGGACTGCTCACTGTGTAAAGGTACTCAGGTGCTCCAGCATTTGCTGGATCAAACTCTAACAATAAAAAACATATACTATGTTCATTTTCAGTGTTGCAGCAAGTATATAAAATGAAAAAAATATTATCAGATGCTAACTACTTTATCCAAGTTTGTTGAAAAATAAATTATGGTACAGCAGTAGCAACTACATTCTCTGGATATTCCATCTTCACTGAGCATTTTCCAAACCAGGATTGCAGGGGCTGAACAGCACTGTCCCTGCAATTGCTGGTCACATCTGCTGTGACACTGGAACTGAGAGCAGGGGAAATGTCTCTCCTGTGATCTCAATACTCCCCACTGCTGGTTCTGAGGCAGTGAGGAGGAAGCACCTTGATTAGAATGCCAAGGATTGAGCAACCAAGTGTCCATAGAGAGAGAGGGGGCATGTAGAGGGGTGGAAGAGGCTGAGACAAGGACAGGCTAGAACAGTGATAGGCAACCTATGGCACGCGTGCCGAAGGCGGCACACAAGCTGATTTTCAGTGGCACTCTCACTGCCCGGGTCCTGGCCACCAGTCCGGGGGGGGCTCTGCATTTTAATTTAATTTTAAATGAAGCTTCTTAAACATTTTAAAAACCTTATTTACTTTACATACAACAATAGTTTAGTTATATATTATAGACTTATAGAAAGACCTTCTAATAACGTTAAAATGTATTACTGGCACGCGAAACCTTAAATTAGAATGAATAAATGAAGACTCGGCACACCACTTCTGAAAGGTTGCCAACCCCTGGGCTAGAAGGACAGCTGGAGCAGAAGGGTCTGTAACCGCATGAGTACGCTGAAATACATCCCAGGATTTCTGAATTTTGGCATTTCTCAATGCTGTGCCAGGGATGTTCTGCGCCTGGCTGGAAGATTCAAATCCGCCTCCGCTGTGCCCCACCCCCCATGTAAATAATAATAAATAACCCACGATCACTGCTGAGTACTTTTACAAATGGACCTTTCTAGCCTCCTCTGATGCATTCTCATTAATTAGCTCATCCCAGTCTACCCGCCTGCTTCCAAGCTCTCTATAAAAATAACTAGCAGATCATTTAACCCTTTCCTGCCCTACGGACACGCTTAGCGAGGTCTCGATTAATTTCACCTTGCTGAAACTCCTTTCATTAGCAGCTATGGTTACAGGAAGATAGCAAAAACTATGCAGAGCTGTTTCTGTGTTAGGGAAACTCATCTAAAGACTTTTTGTCTATATAGCTAAGGAGATCAATGGGCGCCTTTGTTTACAAGTCATCCTTAAAGATTCACTTGCAAAAAGTGGCAAAGAACTCCATCTCATTCTCAGTACTCAGTTTAAATCCCCAGGGTTAGCTGGCTTGCTAAACTTAAAGCATGCCTCTTTAGGTCTTCGTTGTTGAGGCTCTTCAGTTTCTCATCTGTCAAAAAAGCAGCCCTTTTTATGATCGCATCCTATTTACACATCCTATCATCAAACTGTGTTAATATTGTGTCTAACTGGGGACTGAAAGCCTCACATTCAACAACGTTTTTGGGACCTGTTGACCTTTCATCCTTTGCAAGTTTGCCTGGCATTACTTTCCTCCTTCCTTGAACTGTATGAAAATCCCTACTTTATCAGCCTATGAAGCAGCAGAAGCAATGAACCCAGAAGCCCATAAATCTGATAAAGCATTGCAAAGACCACCAAGTAAACTGCCGTTTGAATGTCAAGATCTGGACTCTGCAATTTTTTGCTCACAACATTCATTTTTGGTCAGTATAGTAACTAAGGCCCCAAAGTTATGAGTTATTACTATTGAAGAATTGCCCAGACATCAAGCCTGTTTTAGAAAAAGATAGAACAGATGGAAGTGAGAATAAAAACTTAAGGTCTAACAGCAAGATTTCTTCAGACTGTGTGAGCAAACTCAGAATTGCTGCAGCCTTTTACAAGAGTGTACCACTGGTGCTGCTAAAGAGACTTCCCCTTTTCCCTGTCTGTGAACGAGTGAGTGAATTAACTAAAAATTAAATTACAGACACCCCCCGGGTTACACAAACCCGACTTACGCAAATCCGCACTTACAGAAAAAGTTCCGTAAGCTAGAAATAGGAGGGGTTTTTCTTTTGTTTTTTGTTGTTGGCATAATTGTCGGGTATACGTTTCCAATTTACGCAAAATTTGAGTTACGCAAGGCGTTCTGGAACGGAACGCTTGCGTAAGTCGGGAAGCATCTGTAATATCAAACATTAAGATATTATATATTAACAGATACAGTAGTGAAAAACTGGGTACCTGATGGAATCTAATATTGTAATTAAATGAAATTATATTTATAACAGGGAAGTTGACTATAAAGCGATCCAACTTTGGGCAAAATATTGCAAACTTTAATGACAGGGTTTACTCCTGTAAGCAGAGTGATGTGTGAGAGGAGAATGCCTATTAAATTGAAAAGTAAGATCTTCAAGATGGTAATTGGGCTGCACTTTTGTAGGATCTAAGTACTGGGTACTGACTGGGAAGAGACAAGAGCAGATTCTGAATACAGTTGAAATAAAAATGTTAAGATGGATGTTTGGGAGCTACAAGGATGGACCATGTTTGGAATGAATGAAGTTGCTGACCAGAGTAAAACAGATGGTCCCAAGATAGTTGTACCAAAGCTATGGCCTCGCTTGTCTTACACAAGCTGGTATGAAGAGATGTGTTGCACACAGATACTGGAAAATTCCAGCCCCAGTTGCAAGAACAGCCAATGTGATGTCTTGTTCCCTGATTGGATGGTGACAAAGGATGACTCATTTTGGTTGGATGTTTCAAATCTTTGGAAGAAGAACAGGTCACCATCTGATTGGTCCACACCAGTACCTCCAAGAAAAGGAACCAACTTGGACCACCCAGCAGAAATAGAATAAAACAGGTCTGTCTCCTTCAGCACATTGCTTTCTGAAAGCCAAAGATACATGGAAGGAAGAAGACTGAAGTCCAGGATCAGACATCTGGAGTCCTCCTGGTGACAAAGTACCTATCTCAGACAGGTACCTTTAATTATCTCTTTCTATTTTCTAGCAATTTGGGTTGCCTGCTAGCACATCAGGGAAAAAACTATAGTCATGTCTGTCCTTTGCTCCGCCTGTGTTTGCACTGTCAACTCCTGGTGTGAACAATAACTGAGTTGAAAGCTGACAGCTGAACGAAGATCTGATGATAAAGTAACAGACTTTCTCTTGGGTGACAGGTCAAATCAGTCAATTGATCACTTCCTGAAACTGGGTACCTAATTAGTATTGTGCATGTGATCTAAAGATTGTCACAGAGTTACTGTGTGCCTTTGTTTTGTAAAAGATTCCAATCAATTTTGTTGTAAAGCAGTTTTAAAACTCAACAAGTCACTGTTGTTAACCAAGATTGTAGAACACGTATGTATGATAGGTAATGGTTTTATACTGCCCTTCATGTTCTAGGTGCATACAGACATAAAATGAGGCCATGTGTGCAAGCTTCTCGAACTCCACTCCGTCTATATTGTCTGTCATAAATGTAGAAGTAATGTTAGATGGTTGGGAGTGTTAGATTCTGGGTTTAATATAATTAATTAGGAAATTAGTTAAAAGGGTTGTCTACTGCAGCTCCACAGAGAAGGAGACCTTGGTGAATTAACATGTAAGCAATTGACCAAATTATTTTATTTTCCACCTTTGGATGGTTTTTCCTCTGTTGTACTAGCAACAATTGAGTTAATAACCATTTGACACAAGGAACCCCTACTCTGAGGGACTCAGTCAAAAATCTAAACAAAGTCACTTTCCCAAGATTGAGTACAAGTATTATATAGTATTGCGGTTGTTATTTGATTTTGCAAATCTGAATGGTTATATTAACCAGTTTTCTAATTACAGTCCAATACTATTTTTGTCTTCTTATATCCTATACTATTAGTGGCTGCTGTTAAAGATGTTTAATAAACTCTATAAAACTAATTTCAGCTTTCAAATCCTTTACATTTAATAAAGCAATCAAAATTCAAAGATCCCTAAGAGAGGTGGTATGGGTAATCAGTTAAGCAGCTGTTTAAGTAAGGTTTGTTTTATACCCTATCTTTCTTACATAAGATAGTATACC